AAAAATAAACTAAGCAAACAACTGAAATAAGAACAGAATTGTCGAAATGGAGATCACATGGAGGGTTATCAGCAGGGAGGGGAAAGGGGGAGAATAGAGGAAAAAGTACAGGGAATAAGAAGCATAATTTGTAGGTAAAAAAAGACAGAGGGAACAGACATGCAAGACAAAAAAAAAATGGCCCAAATAAAAGAACAGATCAAAGCTCCAGAAAAAAATACAACTAAGCAATGAAGAGATAGCCAACCTATCAGACACACTGTTCAAAACACTGTTAATTAGAAATGGTTCAAAACACTGTTAATCAGAACACTGCTCACAGAAATGGTTGAGTATGGTTGCAAAATAGAGGAAAAGGTAAAGGCTATGAAAAGTGGAATAAAGGAAAATGCACAAGGAACCAACAGTGATGGTAAGGAAACTGGGACTCATATCAATGGTCTGGACCATAAGGAAGAGATAAACATTCAACTAGAACAGCATGAAGAAACAAGAATTCAGAAATATGAGGAGAGGCTTAGGAACCTCTGGGGCAACTTTGAACGTTCCAACATCTGAATCATAGGAGTATCAGAAGGAGAATAGGAAGAGCAAGAAATTGAAAACTTATTTGAAAAAATAATGAAGGAGAACTTCCCCAATCTGGCAAAGGAAATAGACTTCCAGGAAGTCAAGGAAGCTCAGGGAGTCCAAAAGAAGATGGACCCAAGGAAGCACACACCAAGGCACATCATAATTACATTACTCAGGATGAAAGACAAGGAGAAAGACAAGGAGAAATGATATTCTATCATTTAGAATGGAAGGGCAGAATGCTTTCCAGATAAGGTGAAGTTAAAGGAGTTCATGACATCACCAAGCCTTTATTATATGAAGTGTTAAAGGGACTTATCTAAGGAAAAGAATAAGATAAGAAACTATGAACAGTAAAATAACAACAAACTCACAACTATCAACTACCAAACCTAAAAAACAACAACAACAACAAACAAACCTAAGGAAAGAACTAGAACAGGAACAGAATCACAGAAATGGATATCACATGGAGGGTTATCAGTGAGGAGGGGCTGGAGGGAGAATGGGGGAAAAGGCACAGGGAATAAGGAGCATAAATAGTAGATACAAAAAAGTCAGAGGGAGGTTAAGAATAGGATAGGAAATGGAGAAGCTAGTGAGCATAGATGTAGGACCCATGGACATGAACTAAGGGGGTTGGATTGTTGGAGGCAACTGGGGTATCAGGTGGAAGTCAGCAAAGAGGAACAGATGGACAACTGTTATAGCATTATTAATAAAATATACTTAATAAAAAAAGAAGAAAAAGAAAATGAGATTCAATCAGACACAACTAAAAAATCAAGCAATCAAGAGATATGGTAAATGCAAGATGCATGATTGGTGCTTTACAGCAAATTTTCTTATAAGGACAAAGAGCACACTGTAAACTAATAAAAAGTACAGTAGAGTAAATATGTAAACCAGTAATATAGTCATTTATTTTCCAATCAAGTATTGATATTATATACTATAGGATTAGGTAATAAATAGTATGTGCTATATTTTTATTAATTGTTTGATGTTTTCAATTATAGTTGACATTCAATATTATTTTGTATTAGTTTCAGGTGTACCGCTTAGTATTGAGATAATTATGTAAACTACAAAGTGATCCCCAAATAATTCAAGTACCATCTGGCACCATATGTAGTAATTAAACTATAAAATATTATTGGCTGTTATTTTATACAACCAGCAGCGCAGCAGATTTGCTTACACCGGCAGCACCACACACAGCTGAGTAGTGCACTGGGCTCTCGTGTAAGGGAGGTCACGATGTCACTAGACAACAGGACTTTTTCAGCCTCATTATAACCTTACGGGACCACCGAGGTCATATAGTCGGCCCATCTTGACTGGAATGTTGTGTGGAGCACGTGACCCCATGGGGCTGACTAAGAGTTTGTACCACTACCCTGCCTCAGTGGGAAACTAGACAACAGACTTAAGACTGTAACAGGAACAGCTCTCTATGCCATAGTTTACTTTCTGGAAAGTGAGAATAAGGAAAGTGCATGCAAGGAGCTCAGTGTGGTTCTGCACTTGAAGTTTCCAGTAAAAGTGTTTTTTATTCACTATTGTGTGCGTGCACAAGCACGAGTGCATCTGCACAAATGAACTCTCCCAGTTTTCCCAGCATCCCAGGAAGCTGCTCTGCTGGCAAATCGGGACGGCTGGTCACCCTCCTGTGTACACGCACAGCAACGGGCCTGGAAGAATGGGCGCCGGGGCTTTAACAGGACTTAATCCTCAGAAGGAGTTGTTGTAGATTCTTTCTATTTAATCTGTTGGGCTTAGTTGTATACTCTAATATTTTTCCACGAGCGTATGTGTTGGTTTTAGGATCAGAAGAAAACCACATTTCTTCCAAACTGACATTTTTAAACACTTGAATACAGCCTCTAGAGCTATTAATAGCTGTGAAACTGAAATGATTTCCAAAGTATACACTGAGTCAAATGTTAGCATGGCAAACACAGTATCAGTGGTTTAATAAAAGGCATGTTAGGCAGTCTATCAGTATGCAGTGTTTTTAGTGCTAATTGTCTGAGTGTCACTTTCGTGTTCACAGTAGCACCTGTCTTGTTGGGTACTCAGGGATCAGTGGGATGATTTGTGTTAAAATCCCCAGCACTGGGTCAGCACTAGTCCTCCTCTGCTGTTCTATGAAAGTTCGACCTCTGTGCTCAACTGTCACCACTACTCTCTGCAATGCTTTTGCTCCATGGAGGAAGAGTAAGTTACTAATCCCTCAAAACCCATTGATCACAGGTAAAGTCATTTCCTGATCCTGCCATGTAAACCACTGATTTGGCTTTAATGACCTGAGCACACTTTGAGGACCACATTAAGGTTGTCACTCAAAGCTGTACTCACCATCAAAGTCCTGAAGTAAAACTTGCTTCTGCCCACACGCTCTGGGGATGGCACCACATGATGGCACTACATGATGGAAAAGACGACAGAACCCACGGGGTCATCTCTCAGATCAAGGTCTGAGTCTCCCTGCTGGAAAAATGGGAATGGCACTGGAAAGTGAGAAAAACATTGTATAACTTTATTGACCATTTTAGGTGTGTGCATTTGCAAACTTGGCATCTAAACCATATCCCCATTAAGGTAAAAATGCATAAAAATTACTTTTAAAAAATGGAATTTTTAAAGTGAAATATTAGTTTTCAAACAATCAAAACAATTCAAAATTTATGGCAAATCTCATCAATCAAGGAAAACAGACATCAATGGATAGAAAGTGAATTAAAATTTCTTAACAATTTCAGAAAATTCTACATATAATTAAAAATTACTGGGGAAAAATACAGTACAAACAAGCAAAAATATAAATGCAGAGCTGCTATAGTCCCACCTACCCAGAGAAAAATCATATTGGCAAATATTCCTTAGATGCTTTCTCTGCATATGGTTACATATTTTGGAAACAAAAATAGATTCTTCCATATAAATTGTCCCCCAAAATAATTGAATTTCACTGTCATTATTGACTATTTAGTCTGCTCGTGAATTTTTGCTCTTACAGGCTTTCCTTCTAGTGCACCCACACATTTGTTTAATTTCGCTCCTCCCGGTCCTCCCGCAGTGTCTGTCCTGCATGCTATGGTTTCATTCCAGCCACTTCCTGCCAGCCTAAGCCCCTCCCTCATCTCCTTTCCTCCCAGATCATCTGCCATGCTAATTTCTAGTTTTTGACTAATGCTACCATCTATTTCTGACCACCTCCCTCCCAGCTGCTGAGCGCTGCTGGAGGAGCGCCATATATCTTGTATCGCTGGGCGTCACTAGATATGTTTTTTCTCCAACCTGGACTCATCCACTGTGCCTTGTGTCTTGTCCCTCTTCTGAATCTCCACAATTTGCTCATCCTTCCTTCTAACTGCATGGCCTGGGTTAAAGTCCCCCATCTCATTAAGCTTCAGATTCTCAGTTGCTGAAATAAAAGTAGTATTAGTTACCTTGGACAGGAAGTGGAAGTAAGAATGATGTTTCTAATGTACTCAGAAATGAGCAGGAAACATCATTTCTTCCTGAGAAACTACAAAACCCCCAAACAATGCAGGTGACTGTATCTGTGGCCTGTGAATAAAAGATTTGTCTGTCAATGTGTGGCTTAATGATTCGGGAATGCACAACACTCCAGCCAGAAGGAGGGCAGTGACAGGAAATAGCCTGCAACCTGGAGATCTCCAACATATGAGATCTCCTTAATCATCTATTATTTCAGATTCTCCATTGACTCCTTACTGTATTTCTTTCTTTTCTCCTTTTCTTAATCACCAGGTTTTACTTGGTTATATTCTTTCTATGTTCCTTTGTCCTGAGATATATACTTGCTTAAATGTCTATTTGATTTATCAGTTTGCAATATTTTACCTCAAATTATATATATGAAAATCATATTTACACAGAATCCCATTTTCTCTTTTCCTCCCAATTTTTGTTATGTTGTTTTTAAATTGTGATGCTTTATAACATGTATGTAACCTTAATTCCATATGTATTGTTTCCTTAGTCGTACCTTTACTTTCGTGCTTGTTGCCATTTCTTTTGCAGTATTTTTGCACTCATCTCACCTATGGTGATTAATGTTCAGCGTTGTGTATGTACAAGAATGGTTTTGAATGGATGACAGCGAAGGGCTCAGAGGGATTCTCCCCTTCTCTCCTACTAGTAGGCACTTGACAGTACACAGTTGGCTGCCAAAGACCATCTTTGCAGCTTTGGACCATTTGTCCTTCTCACCATCTGTGGTCACTGGGCACTTTCCTCAGTATCAAATTTCACAAATTTGTGCCACTGTTGACACCTCTTGGCGTTAGAGAAGCATGCTGGCGGAGGCGGGGGTGCAGTGAGGTCCTCCCTCCAGCAAGGGGCGTCGCGGGCAGGCGACTGCGGCACAGGTGAGCCTCTCTCTCTCAGCCGTACGCTTTCTCTTAGTCCGCGACGGCTCGGACCCTGCGGCCTCAGCGTAGTGGTTGGAACCGGTAGTGGGCTGCGAGGTCACAGGCTTACGCTAAGTGGACCCGGTCTTCCCTCCCGCGGCGTCTTGTCCTTGGTGCGCCGCCGTGGCCCATGGGTACAGTCGGCCCGGCGGCTTGGGTAAGTGGCGTCCCGGGCAGGAGCGGGTCCCCGGGGGTGGGGGGGAGCTTTGGATGCGAGGCCGTGGCTTTAGGCCGCACCGCAGTGGAGCGGGAGATCCCGGGCCGGTCCCTCGAGCCGCCGGCGTCCTCCGGCAACAGGCGGGCCTCGGGTCCGGCCCCGGCGACCCTCTGTGTTTCCCTTTGCGCCCCGCCGTCACTTTCCTTTATTTGCCTCGGGTCACCAGAGCCTCGAACTCTTCCACTCTTCGTCCTTCCTTTTCCCGTTTGTCTCTTACCGTCTCTTTTGGACCCGAGGACGTTTTTCTTTCCCCTCCTTAATTAGACTTGTTTTGAAAAGTTGCTCAGTCCCTGGACCCCGGTAGGCAGGCCCCTGTCACCTGTGGCCCGGCACACTTGCACTCCTGCAAGACCCAGGGAGTGGAGAGGAGAGAAGCTAGTTACTTCGTGGCCACAGAATACCAGAAGTGGTCGTTTCTCAAAGACGAGGGGCGGGTGAAGGAAATCCTGACTGCAATATTAGCTTGCTCCTTGTCCTTTTCAAGTGGTGCTTTAGCTCTGGTGTTCAGTCTTCGAGCATTTTTTTTACGGTCACCTGTGGCCTAGGCCATATGTAATGAACGGCAGGTGCGAGATGAGTAAGATTCTACCCCTTCTTTCGGAGTTTGGTCTCTGGGGAATAATCTTAAAAACCTGTGCCCGGGTTGATCCAAGGACTAGGGTGGTGTCTGGGAAGGCTTCCAAGAGGGGGTGGCGCTTGCAACGAGTTTTAGAGGTGTTCTGTTAGATGTGCGAGACGGTGGGAAAAGGTTCCCTGAAGGGGAAAGAAGTGTAAAGGTAGCCTCGGCCACCAGGAGCACCGTAGTGCATTCTGGAAACTGCAGGTAAGGCAGAGAGAGAGAGGTTTGAGGAGAGGTGGGTCAGATCCAAAGGTTCTTTGAACAGACAGTACAGGAGAGCCATTGAAGAGATTCATTGTTAGAAGCAGGTGTATGGGTGGAAAATATAACCTGGATAAGAATTAGATGAAGACTTTGTCTCCCAGCAGCAGGTGGCGTTTTTATAGAATGAAACTCAGTTTCCATATTTTTATAGGATAAAAGCTGCAGACATTTTGACTCTAATAAGAATATCTACAATATAGAGTAAAAAATTAGGAACTTAAACCGAGGGTGTTTTATCTTGAGAGTTTTATTAAGAAATGTGCCGCGTGCTGTACTGTTTGGGATAGGTAGTCAGACAGACAAAAATATAACCTGGTGTAAATAGAAGTGTTAATGGTGAAGAGCTCTTCTGATTGTGGAGTTCTGGAATGACTAAGGCTAGCCTTTATGGAAAATAAAAATTGGGGGAGAATTGTTGTGAGTTCCCAAATGTAACTTTATAAAGTGGATTTCTTTTTACCTGTTTTGTTTTAAATTGTCTTCATGGAACAGATCAAGGGCTAGTAATCCCTCAAGTCTTTGTAGTAGTAAATTGTGAAGGACTTTCTGTTAATATATCTAAATTACAGGGGACTCTGTAAGTCCATGTAAATTACATGGACTTTGTTAGGAATACACTCCAGCCTGTGGTATCTTGGTAATAATCAAGTCTGTGAGAATTGAGGAAAATACTAAACTAGGACAAGTGTGTCAGAGTCAAGGTATAGGGAAATTTAAAAATATCTTTTAAAAAGTCATTGTAAGTCTTATCCATGCGGCATGCCTTGTGTTACCTATATGTTTCTGTGGACGTCAATGTGCACTGCCCCTCGTAGTATCTGTCTTGTTCCTTTCACCTGTTCCTTTCCGTCAGTACATACTTCCCATATTCTTTAGGCTTCATTTTCACCTCATGGCACATGAAGACCTATTTAGTAATATGAGAGCCTCCTACCAAGCTTGTTTCTTGAGGTGCTCAGACCTCAGACATTGACATTAATCATATGGTTGCAGTACTTTTTGTTCCTTTAATTATAGTATGCTATTTAAAATCTACCATAGTTGTATCAAATCCCAGTTACCATAAGTTGATATCTTTAAAAGGCAGATCTACAGATCTTACTGATTTATAATAATGTGATTTAAATAGGTGCATGTTAATTTTCTATCCATTCACTGATATATTTAGAAAATATTTATAAAGCACTTACAATGTTTGAAGCATGGTGCTAAGCAAGAGATACAAGGATGAAGGCAGAAGCAGCCCGTACATTTAGGGAACTTATGGTATAGTAAGAGAATCATGTGTCAACAATCTATAGGAGGCATAACAAGTAAAAGTTGCCCTGGTCCCACTGTGTTCAGGGGAAACAAATTGGCGATAGTTTTATGTGTGAGTAGTAGTCACCAAAGGCTTCAGAGATGCACTTGAAAGATGAGCGGTTGGGACACATCTGAGACGACTGCTTCCACATTTTTTTTTCTGCCAGTGAGCATGTTTAAAAAACATACTTTGCCAGCTTAGATAGAATCTTGAAAAATCATCGTTCTTCTAGCTAACCATGTTTGCTGTGTTTCTTTTTAAATGGAGCATATATGAAAGATATGTTGATCAAAAGGTGGTGTTACAATAAAAAAAAGAAGTAAATAGCAGGTATTTTAAGTTATAAAAGTCCGCTGTTTGTATTTGCATTTGATCCTGGCTTCTCGAGGTATATCCAAATGTTAGAAAGGGCTACTTTTTATTACCTGGCACAAGGCTTCATGATAAAAATGTGTTATATTATCTAACTAACATCTCAGCATGAATGAAGTTCAAGTCCTGGCTGTCAATGCATTTGTTACATTTAGTGGTAGTTGTGGGGAGAATGAATGAATCAACTATGGTATTTTTATAAGTGCTTTAAACAACTAAAATTAAAAGTATACACACCTTTTAAGGAATAGATGCGGTAAACCTGTGTAAAGAAAATTATACAAAAGGAAGAGAGTAAGAAATTCATGTGAATGGGTTTCAGGTTGCTGCTCACCTGGGCCAGGGGAAATCACTTGAATGGGATGAGGGTGGGGAGGAGGGGACAGTTCAAATAGGTTGCATGTCGGTTCTTGTCTGAATCCTGACTCTTGTTTTGGGTGAAGTCACTGATGCTTGTAGCACTATAGTAATTAATTAAAAGCAGGCCATACATATGAGGATGGATGATGAATGTGCTGTTGCTGTAACTAACGAAGTCCTGTGGGTTTGAAGTTCAGTAAAAACGAGAAAGCTCTTTTGCATTTACTGTGATGCAGAGATCTGATTTAGAAGCACTTTGTTGCAGAAACTGGGAGATGATGCTAAGATGACATCAGTTTCTAGTATTTAAAGTGTATTTGAAGGTTTTGAGAATCGAGTGGACTTTAACATAAGATTTTGTGGTATAATGATTTCTGAAGCTTGCAGATAAGTCAAATCAAACCATCTTTTTGGATGGGGTTGTCCACAAACCATCTTCAGTTTAGAAATGGAATTGGAGGAAGAATGGTCTCATGAAACCTCATTAATTCAACTCTGAAGTCTTTGTTAAATATTGGATTCTTAGATGAAAGAACTCTGTTGGAGGCAGAGATCCTCTATACTGCTTGATTTTTTTAACCCCCAAATTTGGGAAATATTTCTATGAGACGTGAGTCTTACAGATCAGGAAATATATGAGAGTTGATTAAACAGCACCCTGTTACCTCACACCCCCTCTCTCACCTCTTCCCTCCGTTTTACCTGTTCTTTTTTTTTTTAACATTTTTTCATTGTATTTTTTCACTACCATTTATCACGCTCCTCTCCACCTCTCCCCACCCATCTCCCCCCAACCCGCAATCACCACACTATTATCGATGTCCACTGTTCTTTTTTTAATTGTAGTAAAATACACATAACATGAAACTTGCCATTTTCACCGTTTTTAAGTGCACAGTGCCGTAGTATTAAATCCATTCACATTGTGCAACCATTACCACCACCTATCTCCAGAAGCTTTTGCCTAATTTTTCTAGGGAAAGCTGTGGGCATTGTGAAGTTTCACTACTAATTCATGTGGCTAAATAGACTTTATTTGACTATTAATATTTCAGTATATGTTTATTAAATACCTACTCTGCACCAGAAATTGGAGGTACAAAAATGAATACACTAATCTTTTCCCTTTGTAATTTAGTGGGCATTTGGTTAACCTGTTTCCATTGGTACTAACATTTCTAAATACCTTTTTTGATGAATTTCTCAAGTTTTTTTATGAAGAGATATTGGAAGAAATAAAGTGGAGTTTGGGTTGCAACCACATTTTGATCATTTATTTATCTTTATGTTTGTAATTTCCCAGAAAGCTTCATTTATATTTGTTTCCCAGTATGTGCTGGTCTTTGATTGCCTTTCTAAGAATAAAGACAGACAGAACAAATGAATCTGTAATTTTTACTAGGTTTTGATTTGGTCACTAACTGGATGAAGAGGGTTCAAAAAATTAAACTAGGGTAGATGAAAGATGCATGATTATTTCTGAAGTACTTTTTTTGAGAACCACAAGACTAAGCTGGACATTCAGAATTGTTTTTCTTGCTATTGCTCTGTTTGAGTTTCTCAGATTAAAGTTTAAGGATATCTTACCTAAATTTTATTTTTTAATTATATTTTATTAATTATGCTAATATAGTTATCCTGATTTTATCCCCTTTGCCCCCTTCTACCTAGCACCCCTCACTCCCTCAGGCAATCCCCCCTCCATTGTTCATGACCATGAGTCATGCATATAAGTTCTTTTGCTACTCCATATCCTGTGCTGTGCTTTATATCCCCATGGCTATTCTGTAACTACCTACTTGTACTTCTTAATCTCCTCACCTCTTCACTCATTCCCCTACACCCCATTCCCCTTGGCAACCACCAAAACACTCTCTATCCATGATTCTGTTCTGTTCTTGTTTGCTTAGTTTGTTTTTTAGATTCAATTGTTGATAGATTTGTATACTTTGCCATTTTACTGTTCATAGTTTTAATATTCTTTTTCTTAAATTAGTCCCTTATATTTCATATAATAACGGTTTGGTGATGATGAACTCCTTTAGTTTTTCCTTGTCTGGGAAGCTGTTTATCTGCCCTTCAAACTGAATGATAGCTTTGCTGGGTAGAGCATTCTCGAGGTCCCTGCTTTTCATGACTTTGAATATTTCTTGTGAATCCCTTCTAGCCTGCAAGGTTTCATTTGAGAAATCAGCTAACAGTCTTGTGGGAACTCCACTGTAGGTAACTAACTTCTTTTCTTTTGCTGCTTTTAAGATTCTCTCTTTATCTGTAAGCTTTGTAATTTTAATTATGATGTGTCTTAGAGTAGGCCTCTTTGCATCTATCTTGTTTTGGACTCTGTGCTTCCTGGACTTGCATGTCTATTTCCTTCACCAAATTAGGGAAGTTTTCTTTCATTCTTTTTTCAAATAGATTTCCAATTTTTTGCTCTTTCTCTTCTCCCACTAGTCCCCCATGGTGCAAAAGTTGTCCCAGAGGCTGTTTATACTATCCTAATTTTTTTAGATTCTGTGTTTTTTCTTGTTCTGATTGATTGTTTTTTTTCTTCCTTACGTTCCAAATCATGAATTTGATTCTCAGGTTCATCCACTCTACTGTTGTTTCCCTGTAAATAGTGCATTATTTCCATTAGTGTATTCTTCCTTTCCGACTGGATCTTTTTTATGCTGTTGATGTCTTCACTGAATTCCTTGGGCATCCTTATAACCAATGTTTTTAATTCTGCATCTGCTAGATTGCTTATCTCCATTTCATTTAGCTCTTCTTCTGGAGTTTTGATCTGTTCTTCATTGGGGCCATGTTGCTTTCTCCTTATTTTGGCAGCCTCCCTTTCTGTTTATTAGGTAGAGCTGCGTTGACTCCATGTCCTGTTAGTGTATCCTACTGTAGTAGGTGTCCTGTAGGGTTCAGTGGCACAACCTCCCCTATCACCCAAGTTGGGTACTTGAGGTATGCTCTTGTGTAGACTGAGTATACCTTCCTCTTATAGTTGATCCTTGATTGCTGTTGGCAGATCAATGGGAGGGATTTACCCAGGCCATTCAGCTGCAAGATTTGCTGTGACCACTGACCACCAACCTCTACTCTCTTTGGAGGATCAGCAGTTCAGGGTCAGGGTGATGGTGCTCCAACGTGGTCAGTAGCTGCCCCTTTGTTTTCCCAGGTGGTGCAGCCAAGGTCAGCCCTGACCTCTGTTTTTCTGGGAGCCACCCTGCCTGAGCAATAAAGCAGTCTGAGATGGCTGTTACTTGTGCTGGGCTTGAAGATTCCCAGGCAAAACCAAGCTGTGAATCGAGGCTGACTGCTGGCTGTTAGTGCCAGGCCTGGGGCTCACTGAGGCCAGCTGTTGTTTGTTTGAGAGAATTTAGGAAGTTGTGCAGTATGAGCTAAGACCAGCCAAACATATGGGAAAGCAGCTTTGGTGGGCCAGTAAGTTGGGTGGAACAGAGTCTCTGGGGATCTTCAGGGCTGGTCAAACAGTATTAGCCAGGTTGATGGATTCTCAGATCTAATACCAGCTTCAGGGCTTCGTGGCTTTGTGGGGGGAGGGTTTAGAAAAAGGTCAATGGCCTCTGGGCTCTTTGATGCCAGTCACTTCAGTTTCTCCCAGTATGTCACTGGTGCCTTTCAAGCTGTTACTCCAGGGTTGGAGCTTGGAGGGAGTGAGTCTGAGTAGGTGAGTCCATGTGTGGGTTCTCTAAGAGAAATTGCTCGGGGCTCCAGAAGTTTCTTCCACCAACTTAATCCCTGCTGATTTTTGAAGCCAGAGTTGTGGGGACTTGTCTTCCTGGCACTGGAACCCTGGGCTGGGGGGCCTGGTGTGGGGCTGGGACTCCTTGCTCCTGATATATGCCTTCCGAATTTTTATTCACTGCATGTGGATATGGGACCAGCCAGTTCCACGTCTGTGCCCCTCCAACCAGCCGGGATGGTGTGATTTCTTCATTTCCGTAGTTGTCAGACTTCCATTAACTCAATTTCTGATGGTTCTGAGTGATGGTTGTTCTTGGTTATTCTACACTGTAGTTGCAATTTTGGTGTGGTTTTGCACAGAGGCGAACCATATCTGCCTACACCGCTACCGTGGCCGGGCTTACTGTTATTTATCAGGCCATGTTACCGGAAGCTCATGGCCATTATCATTATTATTATTATTATTATTATTATTATTATTATTAGGTTCTCCTGTCTAAATTTTGATTTAGATAAGAATGGTTAATTTTGGCCCTGGCTGGTGTGGTGCAGTGGATTGAGCACTGGCCTGTGAACCAAAGAGTCGTTGGTTTGATTCCCAGTCAGGGCACATGCCTGGGTTGTAGGCCAGGTCCTCAGTAGGGGGTGCACAAGAGGCAACCACACATTGATGTTTCTGTCTCTCACTTCCTTGCTCCTATCCCCTCTAAAAATAAGTAAAAAACCAAAATCTTAAATTAAAAAAAATTACTAGTTTTGAATGCCAGACTAGGAGGGAGTAGACTCCAGGGGAATTCCCTCTATAGCTTTGAAGACAGGGTTGTATTTCAGCCATATTTTATTAAGAAGTGGAGTTCATTACTCTTTCTTCATTTAGCTTCAGTGACTCAAGCTTAACGTGACAAGGCCTTGCCAAGTTCCTGAGTAAAATGTTCACTTTGTCTTGCACTGAAGGCAGTGGGCATTTCCTATTGGATATGCTGTCTAGGAAATGGTCTGAGCTGGTGAGTTGTCCCAGAAGCCTTAATGAGGAGGAGAACATTTAGGCATCCCTGGATTTTTAGGTGATTCATTGGAGCAATCAGCCACCAGGACCCTGGACTCTGCTTTTATTCAACCCTGCTTCTGTGCTACCTTGGGGGCCTTTCATTAAGAAATCAAAACAAAGTTTTAGGTAATCTGAGGGTTCAAATGTTAAGAAGGAGCCACAGCTTAGTGGGGCACTGACTTCCAGCCAGAGAGAGGTACACTGCTCAAAACCAAAACAGCTATTTGGAGGGAGCAAAGATGATATCCACCCCTGCCACCCCAACCCTACACGAAGTGGAACCAAAGTCAGCCAAGGTGCTGGGGCAGCAGGGTCTTAGAATACCAGCCAGAGAAGGGTGAAGTAAGCATGTACCACAGAATAACTTTTGCCCTCAGTCAGTTGTAACCTTGGGGGGAAATTAAATATTTTCCTTCTTGTCTCTATCACCTATTCCTGAGACACGGACAAAGGTGGGACAGATTTTGTATAACATGGTTTCTATGGGAAAATGCTGTCTGGCCCTGGAAACTGACAGACTTTTGGAATACATCCATAAATGGGAAGCTACCTGTGCTAAGCATTTATTTGCAGTTTAGAGATTTCAATCAAAAAACAGTTTTTCCCCCCCATCTGTGAGAAAGATTGATTTTTTTTTTAAATTTTGAGAAGTGGGTCATGTTGTGAGTTTCAGAATGTTGAGGTTTTTAAAAGGTAGCAGGAGGGATTTAGGAGCAAGGGCTGTGGAGTTTACCTGACTGGGTTTGAGGTTGGTCTTCCACGGGAGACCTAGGGCGGGTTTATCTCCTCAAGTCCCACCCAGATCCCCATCTGCAGCCTAGCCCTAGGCTCCTACAGCAGATGCTGCATTTACCTCCACCCTGGCCAGGTAAGTTTTAGTAAATGTTAACTATTGTTGACTTTGTTTTTGTTGTTATCTCGTCTTGCTTTGTTCTGCAGGGTTATTGTGTGTTGATCATTCACTATAGAATGGTTATTTCTTTGTACCAGTGTCCTGAGGAAAGGATATTTAAGATCTAACCCTGAACTCTCTCCCCTCAAGAAGCATTTGGTGAACCTATTTCTGTGAGATCATTTCTGGTTTTTAAAAATTTCTAGGCATATGTTTAATTTTTTTCTCTACAAAAGGGTAGTTAATTGTGCTGGATGAATCTGGTGTTTTTGTAAGGCTTCAACTCTTGCTGTTGAGACCAAGTGGAATTTTTTAAATTGGGTGTATGTAAATAACAATGTCCTGAGTCTAGAGCTTCCATCTTTAGCTCATTATATGCTGTAGAACAGACCAGTTTCACTCATGAATTCCTGACCACATGATCTTATTCTAGAAGTGTATTTGCAAAATAGTACATGAGTATTAGAAAGGGCACTGACTGCTGATACCAGGTGTTTTGACTTCTGTCAGTGAAGGTTCCTGGACTAGGAGAATCACTTTAAATATATTTTACCTGTAAAATTCCTTAAAAGTGAGTTATTTTTAACTCAAAAAGATTTTAAATCTGTACTGTATATTGCATTTTTAAAATCCTATGCCTCCCCCACCTTGTTTTTCAGCATTAAACTGAAAAGATGTCCCTGTATGATGACCTGGGAGTGGAGACCAGTGACTCCAAAACGGAGGGATGGTCCAAAAACTTCAAGCTTCTGCAGTCTCAGCTTCAGGTGAAGAAGGCAGCTCTCACTCAAGCAAAGGTAAGATGAGCTCACAGTGTGAACGCAGACGTCTACAGAGCAGGTTCCTCCTTAGATTGAGAATAATAATGGTTTTAACTTGCTGCGGCCAGAGAGGCTCTTTGTAGAGAAGATTAAGGAGTTTAAGGTCATTTTGCTTCTCCCTGCTTGTAGGAATAGAAGAACTGTTGTAGGGATTCCTATGGAGAAAGACAGTACTCTCATGATTTCCAGCAATAATACAGGTTTTCAAGCTTCATTATGTCTACAATTACTGAGAATTTGGTTAAAATATTGCTCTAGTAGCCATGTGCCTGGTAGTCTGGTAGATTCTGGCTCTGGGTGGGGCCTCAGGTGTCTGTATTTTTGGTAGCATTCCTGCTGTTAGTTGTAGGTAGTTTGGAATCAGCACTTTGAGAAAGGAAGCTCTGTAGTAATTATGAAGCTATAATAAGGTGTATGTGCTATTGAGCGCTCGAATCAGTTGTGAATGTAGCCTGGATGTCATTGTTTCTGTTCCTGTTGTATATGTGGGCATTGGCAAAATCCTTGAATTTACTTTACATGTAAATTATGAAAAGCATAGTTGCGCACTGGGTATTTAATATTAAAATGTTACTGTCATATACTTTTAGGAATGAGAATGGTATTATGGATTGCTTACTGTTCTAAGGGCCCTTATGTTTCAGAGCATGCATCCCCCAGTGCAGACCATATGCTCCCAAGTGGGGCAAATACTGATCCGAAGGGGGTGAAAATGAGCTTGTTCTTTTTATGTATAAAGCACAGATATATATAATAAAGTACATAAACAGATATACAGTATATTGTGGTATTAAAATGTTATGGGTAGGGCAAAATTATTAAGTTTCCTTGAGAGGGAGGCTATAATGAAAAACATTTAAAAATGCTTAGAGATATATGTTGGAATATTTACTGATAAAATGGTGTAGTTTCTGAGCTTTACCTATGTCAAAATAATCCAGTCTGGAGCAGGGGAGATAAGGATGTACATGAAACAAAATTGGCCATGAGTTCATAGTTGTTTAAGCTGGGCATTAGAGACTTAGGAATTCTTGAACATTCTCTTTAATTTTATGTTTGAAATTTTCCATAAGAAATAGTTATTTAATGTTGGAATTGTTTTTCTTTTCCTTCACTATATTAATAGACACTTTTATTGAAGTTCTAACATCTGATTGCTACATATTATAAAAGGTTTTTAGAATTAGGATATCCACAGGTAAAGCAACACTGTCTTAAAATTTAATTTTGTTTTTGTCAGTTGATTAGAGTTTTTGTCGTCTTCACATTCATCATTACAAGGTTTAAATTTTTTGTGTGCTGTATTTCTTTTTAAAGAGATGGAATTTTGTCTTTTCAAAACAAGCTTTTATCCTCCGTGAAAGGAAGATTATTGACAAAGGTTGATCTTCCTTTTAATTTTAAAATTGATTTAAATTTTAAATGTTTTTAAGTTTCATGTAACTTTTTCTTCTTGTTCCCTGACTTATTCATTTCTTATTATCTTCTACTTGTTTTATGGATACTATATTTTATCTTACCATTTGAGGATATCAATTAGAAGGTATTTTCTTTTTCTCTTTTCTTAAATTTTTTTTTCAGTTTTAGAGAGAGGGAGGATAAAAGAGAGGGGGAGAAACACCAATCTGCAGTTGCCTTTCCTGTGCTCCCAACTGGGGACCTCGCTCACAACCCAGGCATGTGTCCTGACCAGAAGTTGAACCACAGACTCTTTGGTTCGCAGCCTGGCACTCAGTCCACTGAGCCACACCAGCCAGGGCAGTTTCATGTAACTTTTGATGTGTACATTAGGTGTATAAATAAGGTTTTATGTTTCATGTCTTTTATTCTTGAAGGCCTAATCTCTTTTGTAAAATGGCTTCAAGGAGCAAGTCTCATCATAGTAACATAAACTCAGTTAGATGTGTGGGCAATCTTATAGTTCAATGGAAGATAACAAAACAAAATAGAAAAGCAGAAGTCAAAATATTCTAGAGATTTACAAATTAAAAACTACTTGGGCCCTGGCTGGTGTGGCTCAGTGGATTGAGTGCCAGGCTGCAAACCAAAGGGTTGCCTGTTCGATTCCTAGTCAGGGCACATGCTGGGTTGCAGTCCAGGTCCCCAGTAGAGGGTGCGGGAGAGGCAAGCACACACTAATGTTTCTCTCCCTCTCTTCCTCCTTGTCTCTAAAATAAATAAATAAATAAATGAATGAATGAATAAAATCTTTTTTTTTTTTTAAACAAAGCTACTTGGGATAATTTTTATTGCCAGTTTTAAAATAGTCAGTTTTGTGTATTACTTACAGCCAATCTTTTAAAATCCTAGATAATTTGTTTCTTCCTGCCAAATACTTCAGGATCACTTTCTCTATCTAGCTAGTGCATAATTATAAACTATAGGTTAAAAGGCAGCTTGTATTAAATACAATTGATAAAATAGATTCTTTTAAAAAATAAATATTAAAAAGTCAAAATCTACAGATTGCATACTAATTTTTCTGTGCCATTGTTTTACTCACATGAAAAGTAAAGAGTTGGATGCTGATAAGCAAGGAATTATATTTTTATATGAAATCTAGACTCGTAAACATCCTCTCTATTACCTGCTTCAGTCTGTGTTATTTATGCTTACCAGCTTTTCACTTGTCCAAATACATTACTTTCAGGAGATCTATTGAGATTTCAAATAATATTTTTGTATTTGGTCAAAATAAAAAGTTGCTTATGAAGTCATTGCTGCTAACTTTCTAACATTTTTTGAGATTGCCATGTGAAGTTAATGTTGTGTTTTTCTTGAAGGGAGTGAAGATATATTTCATTGGTTCTTTTAGGCTATTTAATTTACTACTTAATTACTCAGCACAAATTTGGCCTAACCAGATTTGTAAAGGTATTTGATTGAAAAAATGTTGCCTACAAACCGAAAGATGGAGTTATGGTTTCATCTGTATCTCTACTGTAAAATATAATATCAAATAGAAAATTGTATGACTCTGATAATGCCCCCTCCATTGCCCTTTCAACTTTGGTATTCACTTGGTGAATTGTGTATTTAATGATTGGATTAAATTTGTTTGCTTAAAATTTAAGTGATGTTAAATTCAAGGGTGATGGTGGCTTATTTTGACCCTTTTGTAGTGATAATAATGCAAATGTATAACACTTTAAATTGCAAAGGGAGGGGGGAATTAAACCTCAATAACTGAGAGATCAAGTGGTTACCACTATACCTATCTGCTCACACTTAGCATTACTAACAGACAGCCCGCCTTGTGTGCCTGCTGGGGTGATGCTAAGTGAAGCACACCACCTCACCTATGGTGTGTTCTTGCCAAAAAGCGCTACTCTACCCTAATTAAGATTTACCTCAGTTTTCAGGAATTGTATGGCATAGAGGAATAAGTGAAACTAGACCACCAAAAATTTATCAGACAGATGTAGAATGTACATTTTACAAGACAGTGTCAGAGGAAAATAGTGGAGGGAAAAATGATGATGATGGTGGTGATGATGATGACAACGACGACGACAAAGAGGGAGGGTTTTCCTAAATTAAGAGTCTTAAAAACCGGACTTCCGGCCAAGATGGAGGCATAGGTAGACACACTGTGCCTCCTCACACAACCAAGATAGGGACAACAACAATTTAGAAACAGAATAACAACCAGAACTGACAGAAAATTGAACTGTATGGAAGTTGGACAACCAAGAAGTTGAAATAGACCCGTTCATCCAGATGGGTAGGAGGGGTGGAGCCGGGCAGCCGGGCTCGGGTTGCAGCATGGAGAGTAGAGAGAATTGGGACCAGGCATGTAAGGCATCTGGGGCATGTAAGACCGCAGCAGGTGAACCCTGAGCCTGCAAGTGGCAGCTGGCAGACCCAAGCCGAGGGGTGGCAAATGGCAGACCCAGTGATGCTGCGATTGTGAAGCAAGGCACTGAGCAACTCAGGATCCCAGCGCTGGGAAATAGAGCCTTGGGACATCAATTGAAAACACCTGTGGGGGTTGAGGCACAGGGAGAGACTCTCAGCCTCACAGGAGAGGTCCTTGGAAAGTCCCACGGGGTGCACAAGCCCACCCACATGGGAATCGGCACCAGAGGGGCTCAGTTTGCTCGGGGGAAGCAGTGGAAGGGACTGAGGTCTGAGGGAAAGCGGAGCAAGCGCCATTGTTCCCCCTTGGACCCCCCCCCCCCCCACATACAAAGTCACTAGCCAGCGACTGGGGTGCCCCACCCTGGTGAACACCTAAGGCTCTGCCCCTCATACATAACAGGCGAGACAAGACCAAAGGGGGGAAAAGATGGCTCAAACAGGGACTTTCAAACCCCACAGTCAGTACTTTTAAGTGACCAAGAGATAGCCAACCTATTGGCTGCACAGTTCAAAGCACTGGTGATCAAGATGCTCACAGAATTGATTGATTTTGGTCACAAATTAGATGAACAAATGCAGGCTACGATAAGAGAAATGAAGGAAAATGCACAAGGAACCAATAGTGATGGGAAGGAAACTGGTACTCAAAACAATAGAGTGGATCAGAAGGAAGAAGGAAACAACCAAAGAGAAAAGAATGGAGAAATAAGAATTAAAAAAAATGAGGAGAAGCTTAGGAACCTCCAGGACATCTTTAAATGTTCCAACATACAAATTATAGGGGTACCAGAAAGAGAAGAGGAAGAGCAACAAGTGGAAAACTTACTTGAACGAATAATAAAGGAGAACTTCCCCATTCTGGCAAAGGAAATAGACTTCCAGGAAGTCCAGGAACCTCAGAAAGTCCCAAAGAAGTTGGATCCAAGAAGAAACATACCAAGGCACATCATAATTACATTAGCCAAGGTAAAAATGAAGCAGAGAATCCTAGAAGCAGCAAGAGAAAAGGAGACAGTTACCTACAAAGGAGTTCCCATCAGAATGTCAGCTGATTTCTCAAAAGAGATCTTACAGGCAAGAAGGGGCTAGAAAGAAGTATTCCAAGTCATGAGAGGCAAGGACCTACATCCAACATTGCTCTATCCAGCAAAGCTTTCATTTAGAATGGAAGGGCAGATAAAGTGCTTCTCAGATAAGGTCAAGTTAAAGGAGTTGATCATCACTAAGCCCTTATTTTATGAAATGTTAAAGGGACTTATCTAAGAAAAAGAAGATAAAAATCATGTATAGTAAAATGACAGCAAACTCACAATTATTAACAACCACACCTAAAACAAAAACAAAAAGAAACTAAGCAAATAACCAGAACAGGAACAGACCCACAGAAATGGAGATCACGTGGAGGGTTAGCAACAAGGGAGTGGGAAGAGGAGAGAGGGGGAGAAGGTACAGGGAATAAGTAGCATAGATGGTAGGTAGAAAATAGACAGGGGGAGGGCAAGAATACTATGGGAAATGTAGAAGCTAAAGAACTTTCGACACATGGACATGAACTAAAGGGGGGGAATGTGGGTGGGAGAGGGTGTGCAGGGTGGAGGGGAATGAAGGGGGAGTAATGGGACAACTTAATAGCATAATCAATAAGATATTTTTTAAAAAAGTCTTAAAAACCAAATGCATTGCAGAATTTTGGTAGGATCCTTGGTTCAAAATAAAATCTAGTATTTAGAAGACATTTTGAGGACAGCTTGGAAAATCTGAGTATGAACTGGATAGGAAATGACACAAGGAATTACAATTGATTTTATTAGGTGTGGTAATAGTGTCATGGTTATGTAAGAGTGTCCATAATTTTAGGAGATTAAGTGTAAAGTATCCTAGTGTTTTCAAATGTCTTTGAAATGGTTTAGCATAAATACAGGTATAGGGTGAAACAGATATGGTAAGATGTTAACCATGGCTGAAGGTATCTGAATGATCATGTTATCTTAAAAAATATGTTTCTGTAGGTTCACAATAGAAGAGGTGAGACAGGATTTTATATTCTCTGGGAGGAAAAACACTAATCTACAAGTAACTTTTGCTCAGCATTTAAAAAAATACCCGCTTTACGGGAAAGATCCACGCTCGTCAAAAAGTGTAATGTGCTATTCCAGATTTTCCCTCTTGGTCAAAGGAAAACCTGCTGTAGAGCTGATACTGCATGCAAAGTTAAATTAAACTGACCAAGTTTACTATAAATCTTTTACAATGGAGGAAATTTGTGTTGAAAAAGAAAATGGGCTAATGAAACTAGTATGTGGTTATACTAATAATTGGATTATGAGGGGGATCCCCCAGAACCAACATTTATTTATAAAAGATGTGTTGTATTTATGCTTACATGTTTAAACTTAAGTCACCTTCAAAGCACTCTCCCTTTGATGTAGTACACCTATGGAGATGTTCTTCCCACTGCTCAAAATGGTTTTTGAGTTTGTCAATTTTGATGTCTTTTAGTACTTCTGCTGTTTTTTGTTTCATCTGTTCCACATGGGCAAAATGTTTCCCTTTGAGAACTTTTCTCATCTGAGGAAACAAAAAAATTCCTCAGGATGAAATGGGGTGAATAGGAAGGGTGGGGCACAGGGGTCATGCTGTTTTTGGTCAAAACTGCTGAACACTCAGATTGGTGTGGGCAAGTGCACTTGTAAATCCCCCATCATGAAATGGGCAAACACATTGAGAATCTTCAAAAAAAATTTCACTGAAGCAGAACACAGCCTCTCACAACAAAACCAGTTGGTACACTGGTACAGATGGGTTCACCTAGTGGGGGAAGCCTGTATTACAAGAGGCCTGCCCTCTAGAAGATAATTCCCGGGGGAGGGGGGGGTGGTTGGGGTCCCCTCTTGTAAAAGTCTATTTTAAGATTATGGTTTTCTTGTTGCAGAATCTGAAAAGTTCGTTATAGAGGACCCCTCCCCCCCCCAAAAAAAAGCTTTGTTACAAATAGTATGGATTTTAATTTGAAGGCTCAGTATACTCTTCTTGTTCTTTAATGATTTTAGAGCCAGAGAACAAAACAAAGTACAGTCCTTGCCCCAGTAATCGACCTAAAACGTGGTGGCTCTTCAGACGACCGGCAGATTGTGGACACCCCACCTCATGTAGCAGCCGGCTTAAAGGTAAGCCTACCTCTGACCTTGATGGTTTTCCTGCTTACTGCGTGTTTCATTTTGTGCACGTGTCTCTGAACACAGTCTCCTCAGTAGGCCTTTGCAGTCTAGTCAGTATCATTTTCAACTTAATTTTTACTTTTGTTTATGAAGTTTAAATCATTTAGCTATTTAAAATAAAATAGCTCATTATAGAAAAATCAGAAATCAGAGATACACAAAAAGACAATAATTGACTGTAATTCTACCCAGAAGTTAAAAACTTTATATTTTAGAATAGCTTCCCATCCTGTGCCTCCTCTACCCACTGTTCTCTAACCTGCCTGTCTCGCCTGATACATATTGATTGTCGGTCTGTGTCAAAAAGTATTTTAATGGCTTCACTGTATTCCCTCATGTGGGTGTACTGTAGTTTACTTAATTTGCTTAGTGCTGGATATATAGGTTAATTAAAGTAAAAAATAATAGTATTCATTGTTTTGCCATGGGTTAAAATAAAGAAAAGTGTTAAAAATAAAGACAAGTCTACCACCTATCCTTTATCAACCCAGTGATTCTACCTAAGCTTAAAAACTAAGAAATAGACATAGACAACTCTGTAAATGAGTTAGTGAGGATGAGGAAAATCTGGAAAGGGATAATTGCAAATCATAGTTAATGAGGGGCAAATGAACTTAAACAAGTTTTATGTTTAAAATTACACCCATTTTAGGTGTATGTTTATTCTCCATAGATGTCATTCAGATAATACCACAGAGGTAATTTAAACAGAACTATATAGGCACACGAGTTGCTTGATGAGAAATGACGCAGAGGTTAAAGATAGGATATGCTATTGTTGTTGACTGTTTCTTAGCAAGGTACTCTTCCTAGCCGCACCCCTGACCACCAACTATTAGAAAGGACCCCAGTCAAGCTGAGGCACAGTTTCAGCTGCATACCCTCTCCCTTCTTTATTTTGTTTCTCATCCTCACAGTTTTGACCAGTCTGGTTTGGAGTCCACTTGCTCCTCGACTTTGCTTTTTCTTGGCTGGAAGACCTGGTACTACTGCAGGCTAATAGTCTGTTTAGAGGAAAGAGCACCCCACAGTGGAGGTGTTTTGGGGGGATTCTTAGTCATTTAACTTTTTTACCACATACTCACCATATAACTTTTTCTCACTACATCTACCGAAAAGCTGATTCATCATTTTCTGTTATTGTGTATTGATTCTAGAACCTATAGTGTTGCCTGCCCCAAAATTTAATCAAGCATTTTTTTCTTGTTACAAGTTTCATAATCAAATTTTTTATTAAGTGTATTTTATTGATTATGCTATTATAGCTGTCACATTTTTCCCATTTGCCCCCTTCCACCCTGTACCCCTATTTCCCCCAGCAATACCCTCCTTAGTTCATGTCCATGGGTCATGCATGTAAGTTCTTTGGCTTCTCCATTTCTATATTATTCTTAACATCCCTCTGTCTATATTGTGCCTACTAATTATGCTTCTTCTTCCCTGTACCTTTTCCCCCATTCTCCCTCTTCCCCCTCCCCACTGATAAGCCTCCATGTGATCCCCATTTCTATGATTCTGTTCATGTTCTAGTTGTTTGCTTATTTTATTTTATTTTTGTTTTTTTATTCATTTGTTGATAGTTGTGAGTTTATTGTCATTTTACTGTTCATAGTTTTGATCATCGTCTTTTTCTCAGCTAAGTCCCTTTAACATTTCATATAATAAGAGCTTGGTGATGATGAACTCCTTTAGCTTTACTTTGTCTGGGAAGCACTTATCTGCCTTCCCATTCTAAACGATAGCTTCACTGGATAATCTTGGATGTAGGTCCTTACTGTTCATGACTTTGAATACTTCTTTCCAGCCCCTTCTTGCCTGTGAGGTTTAGGAATCCGCTGATACTCTTATGGGAACTCCTCTTTAGGTAACTCTCTTCTTTTCTCTTGCTGCTTTTAAGATTTTCTTTTATCTTTCACCTTTGGCATTTTCGTTATGATATGTCTTGGTGTGGCCTCCTTGAGTCCTACTTTTTTGGGACTCTGGGCTCTCTGGTCCTGTAATGTCTCTTTCCTTCACCAAATTGGGGAATTTTTCTTTCGTTAATTTTTCAAATACATTGTCAATTTCTTGCTCTTCTTCTTCTCCTTCTGGCACCTGTATGATTTGGATGTTGGAAAGTTTTAAAGTTATTCTAGAGGTTCCTAAGCCTCTCCTCAGTTTTTTGATTTCTTGTTTCTTCTTTCTGTTCCAGTGATTGTTTATTTCTTCCTTTTATTCAAATTGTTGATCTGAGTCCTGGTTTTCTTCCCATCACTGTTGGTTCCCTATGTATTTTTATGTCACTTTGTATTACCTTCACTTCTTTATTTTGCAGGCATATTCAGTGATTTCTGTGAGCATCCTGATCACCAGTGTTTTGAACTCTGCATCTGATAGGTTGACTATCTCCATGTCAGCTAGTTCTTTTTCTGGAATTTTGATCTGTTCTTTCACTTGGGCCATATTTCTTTGTCTCCTCAGTTTGGCAGCCTCACTATGTTTCTGTTTATTAAGTAAGCTGCGTTTATTCCCCATGTTGGTATACCTGTTATAAGGGGCAGAGCCTTAGGTATTTGTTAGGGTTGGGCAACCAGCTTCTCCTCTTGTGACCCTTATGTGAGGGAGGGGTCAGAGAGAAAAATTCCACTTGCTGGCCCTCACCCTGTTTCCAGTCACTTCCCCTACTTCCCTTAAGTGAGTAGCAAGCACCCTTCTAGCTGCTGCGCTGGTGCTAATTCCCCCAGTGGGTAGGCTTGTGTATGTTCTAGAACCATGTAGGCCCCTCAAGTGGACTATCCTGTGAGATCAGCAGTTTCTTACAGTGCTGCAATCCCCATTGGTTTTTACAGCCAGAGGTTATGAGGCTTTATTTCCCAGTACTGGAACCATGGGCTGTGAGGTCTGGGCTGGGGCTGGTGTTGCTTGCTTCCTGGTTGTCCCTCCCAGTTTTTTTCAGCTGCTTGTGAATGTGGGACCGCCCATTCTGCCAGCTTCCACTGCCTCGGTGTGCCACACTGTGTGCTCTCCACCCTGCTTCTCAGTCTCCTCCCCTCCTACTCATGTGGGTGAATGATTCTTCTTAAAATCCTTGCTCGTCAGACTTCCATATAGTTCAGTTTTCTAGCAGTTCTTGTTTTTTGTTTTTAGGTTGGTTGTTATCCTTCTTATGGTTGTGCGAGGAGACAAAGTGTGTCTACCTACGCCTCCATCATGGCCAGAAGTCCCTCATAATCAATTTTTACATGTGAAGTATTCCCATCAAGTTAGTGTGTTGTAATTTATACAAGAGTTTCCTAACTGTAGAACCATCTAGATCTGCTTTTATGTTGTCATCATAAATAACACTCTAATGAACATCTCCATAGAGAGTGCTCTATGCATGTAAAATTATTTTCTTAGGATAGATTTCCTGAGGTGGCATTAAGAGATCAGTCATTTTTATTATCAGTTTGTTTTAGTGCTGGCTTGTTTTCAGCCAAGTTGTGTTAGTATACAAAGTCACCTACAATATATGAGTATTTTAGTTTTACCCACCTTCCCCATCATTGGAGTATTAGCATTTTAATTTTTTTAAATTAACAAATTGCTTTATTTGTGGCATTTAGAGAGGAATGGGTCATTGTTAAACTTAGTCGGCTTTATACAGTAAAAATAACTTGATTTTAAATTTCATATTGACTGTTCTTTTGGTAGAATCTTTGTGATTATGGTACTACTTAAATTGAAAGACTGATTACTGGTTTCTCTCTATCTTAATAATAACTGAAAGGAAATCTTGTTTATGTGCCTTTGCATTTTTTAAATTCCTTTAATATTAATGCAAATTCATTTTACCTGCCCTTCAGGATCCCTATGTTTTAATAGATTTGTGTAAATTTTCCAGTGATAGGACTTGGGAAGTGACTACAGTTATTCTTCTGACTTCTTTTATTCATTTGAATTATAGTATTTCCTGATTTTTAGTTGTAAGGAAAAGAGAAAGTATTTGTTTTATAATGCATAATGTCAGATGAAACAATCTAATATTATAAAATGTCAAACTTAACAAGAATTGTTGGATTTAAATTCATTGATATTGAACATAAGCTCATATCATGTCAATTTTCTGTTCAAAACAAAATATATTTTACAGCCTTTCTGCATTTGATAGTATTGGGCAGTATACCTCTTGAAAGAGGTGACTAGTCCTAAGTTATGCTTGTTTTAAGATGTCCATGGAGACCAGTTAAGGCCTCTTATTTTTGCAGATAATAAGGAAGAGTTAAATGCTAAGAAAACATGGAGGAAGAAAGTGTGGAGTTTTAGGAAATTTAGACCATGCATTATACTGGGGCTTCCCTAAGCCATGTAGAAATCAAGACCACCCGCCTAGGGTAAAGCCCCATTTCTAATCATGTATTTTTTAGTTGGCTGTGCTCTGCCTGCCTTTTGTTTTTCTCATTTCTTTGTTAAGCCTACCTCTTTTCTCTCAAAGAATAAGCAGCCCCAGTCTCTAAATGTTTAGAAGTGAAATGCAAAATGTTATCATCTGAACTTGATCTTAGTGGACCTTAAAAAAATGAATGACAATGTGAAGGAAATTACATCCATGCTGTGCCAGACTCAGCATATGAAGGGCAGCCGACTGGGAAGGGATGCATTCCAGAGGATTTCAAAAAGCCCAAGGGGATGCTTTTTACTTTTTTAAGTTTTAATATATCATATCTGTCCATGTAATCAAAATTTAAAGTTACTCTATTAAATGATCACAAGGATGATTGTGTTATCTGTGGGTGGCTTGGTTTTCATGGAGCTGTAAGAAACTAAGGTATTTGTTGTTTACTATATAAATAATCAAATTTATTGCTTAGAATTTTTGGTGGTGGCAGTTTGTCTAGGAATTTCAAGAAAATGCTGTAGGGTATTTATGAAATTAACACTGAACTAGTGTCTTTGTCGTGGTTTTGCTGCTACCTAGTGAGGTGTGTGACAATGTCATGTCACTAAACCTGCTTAGACATTTGTTCCCTTGTCTGTAAAACAAAGGAGGTAAAAAATGGCCATCACACTCACTCCAGCCCTCATATTCTTTTCCCTTAATTCTGTGAATAAAATGTTAAGACATGAGGATGGTACCATGGCATTTTTATCTTCCTCAGGATCCTGTACCCAGTGGGTTTTCTGCAGGAGAAGTTTTGATTCCCTTAGCTGATGAATATGACCCTATGTTCCCGAATGATTATGAGAAAGTGGTAAAGCGCCAAAGAGAGGAACGACAGAGACAGCGGGAGCTGGAACGACAAAAAGAAATAGAAGAGAGAGAAAAGTAAGGCTTCATGTGGATTTGGGGATATTTTATATTTGAAATACAGGTCCGACAAAAGTAAGGCCTGCTTGAGTGTGGTTGGTAGGTAATAATATGAGTGTAATAATTTATAGTCTTAATTTGAACATTCCACCCAAAATGTCATATGGTATGCTTAAGTGAGATACTGTTATGTTACAGAGTTAGATGCTTATGATTTTGTAATAAAAAATGGGCGTCATTTGTGCCAGACCTGTATTTATGAGAACGTTAATGAATGAACTTCAGTGCTGTCCATAAGGCTGAAGTTAGTTTTCATGGTCGATCTGAGCACTCATCAGAAAAGAATCAAACTTTTTAAAAGCCTTTAGCTGTTACATCCCAGCATGAAAACAAACTCTTGAGCAAATTTCCTTTATAGGTACAGAAAATTTAAAGTACATATTTTGGGTGAGTTGTTAGAAAAGTACCTTAGAATCCTAGTGTTGAACAGTAGTTTCTTTCCTATGCTATGACTCTTCTATAATCATAACTATTCAAAATACTTAATTTGTTATTCTTTAACTATTTTAGAGCAAGGTGGAATTTTTAAAAACATATGCATCTTTTATTTATGTTTTTTAAAAATATGGGTAACAAGGATTTGTTTGTATTTTTTTTTAAATATTGAATATTGCCCTGGCTGGGTAGCTTGGTTGGAGCATTGTCCTGATGCTCCAAGATTATGGATTCAATCCCTGGTCAGGAATCAACTGGTAAATGCATGGATGAGTGGAATAGTGGGTAGATGTTTCTGTCCCTCTCTTACTCTTCCTCTCCCTTTCCCTCTCTCTCTTAGAAAAAAAAAAATCAGCCCTGGCTGGTGTGACTCAGTGCATTGAGCACCAGCCTGTGAACCAAAGGGTCGTTAGTTTGATTCCCAGTCAGGCCACATACCTGGGTTTTGAAACAGGTCCCCAGGTAGGGGCACATGAGAGGCAACTGCACATTGATGTTTCTGTTTCTCTCTTTCTCCCTCCCTTTCTCTAAAAATAAATCATTAAAATCTTTTTAAAAAATCAAATACAAATATTGAATATTGAATTTTTTAGAAAATATTATTACAGTATTTCTCATTATTTATTTTACATGAAGTGAAGGCATATTCTAGAGCAGTGATTTCCAGCCTTTTTTATGTCATGGTACACATAAACTAATTACTGAAATTCTGCAGTACACCAAAAATATATTTTTTGCTGGTGCGACAAAAAAAAAAAAAAGGTATGATTTTGATTCATTCACACCAGACGGCTATTGTTGTGTTGGTTGTGGTCTTGTTTTTTTGTGTGTGGGTTTTTTTTGTTTTTTTTTTTTTTGGTGTTTTTTTACAATCTAAGGGAAAAGAGGTCAGTGCCCCTGACTAAATAGTCAGGTATTGCATGTTTTAAACATTCTTTTACAGCACAACAGGGTGCCTCTTTGGGGACTCTGGTTGAAAATCATTGTTCTAGAGAATTGAAATTGTTAAACTATTACCTATGTTGACATGCTTTAAAATTGAAATTGGTAAATGTCAAGGAAGAGTTTTTCTTGCTACTTACACTTGTATACCTATTAAATGTGTTCACTTTATCTTCTGAATTTTTCTCACTTCTCATACTTTTGCTACTTTAGACATCAACCAGTTGATTGTGCACACCCCTCCTTGCATTAATAGTTTAGTGTGAAGGGGAGGATCTGGGTATTTTCTACCCATCAGCCAGTCAAGGTAATGTCTTTTGATTTTATATCTCTGAATTGGTTCATCTGTGATGAACAGGGGTTCTTTTATTATCACAGGAGGCGTAAGGACCGACATGAAGCTAGTGGATTTTCAAGACGACCAGATCCAGATTCTGATGAAGATGAAGATTATGAGCGAGAGAGGAGAAAAAGAAGTAAGGCATGAACATAAATATTATATTTCCATTGTGGTGTAATTTCACTATTTGCTTTTCATACGCAATATGATAAATTAGTTCAGTTGACATTGATTTAGGTATTCTTTTTTAGGAATCCTAGCAATCCTCATTTGCATACATCCTTAATTTATTTTGAGTTTTCACATATATTCTTCTTCGAGCTTCCCACCCACTTTCCAACATTTATTAAGTGGACACTTTGAGCATATCTCAAAATACATATGCACACTTCTTTTTACTTGTAGCACAGTCACAGTGACCGATTCTCTGTCCAGCTTCGTTTCTGTTAAACACTGAGTGGAGAGTCAGGGCACTTGTTTCCAGAACATTTGCCACTGACATGCATAAAATTGAGGGCATCACTTAGCTTCCCTGGACATTGGTTTCTCTCAGTGTCATCTGGAGAGCAGGAAGACAAGACTTTGAACTAGTTCATAAAGCTCCCTTTAGCTCTAAAATTTTACAAGCAGAGTTGTAATTGTGTAAGAGCTAAATCCTTAGTGATCACTAGACAGTTAAGCAGTATTTGTTGAGTGCTTCTTATTTTAGCTTCATCATGTTTTGATTGCTGGGATTGCCTTGATTTATTGACGAATTTGGCTGATAGATTGAGATTTAAGTGAGAAATTTAAGTCTTCTACTTGTTTGCTTGTACCAGGCTCTGTTCTAAGCACTTTTGTAAATTATGTCCTTTACGCCACACGACAACGCAGAGTGGGCTCTGTAGTTATGCCCATTGTAATGATGGGAAATCTGAGGCACAGAGGGAAGAAGCACTTCATGAGATACAGGTACCCTGTTCATCTTATCCAGGACCTTCATCTACCTGAAATCCTCATTGTAATGTAGTCATCTTTAACATACAACCTGAGAATAATATTATCATGAAGCTGGAATATATTTCCGTATCTATGAACCCTATTTTATATATAGCCAGGACTGTCTTCGGGTTTAATTTAAATTTTAAAATACTAGTTGAGTTGAAAAGGACTGAGTCTTTAATAATTTAGAATTCTTTATCTTTCAGTGAAGGTGTGAATTAAATGTATTTGTAGAATACTTAATATTCAACAACAACAAAGAAAATCAAGCCCCTGTATACAGAGAACAGGTTGTTGCGTGCCAGGGGTGGGGAGTGGGAGAAAAAGGTGAAGGGGGTCAAAAGGTACAAGCTTCCAGTTACAAGTAAGTCATGAGGATGTAATGTCAGCATGGTGCCTATAGTTGACAGTACTGTATTGCATATTTGAAAGTTTCTGAGAGTAAATTCTAGAAGTTCTCATCACAAGAAAAAAATTATAATTAAGTATGGTGACAGATGTTAACTGGACTGAGTGATAATCATTCTGCATTATATACAAGTATTGAGTCATTACTTTGTACACCTGAAACTGATATCAGATGTCAGTTACACCTCAGCAACAACAAAAGAGTACTTGGTACATGCTTAATATTGCCGTGCACTACATTGTTTTTCCCGTGGGAGGAAAGTTACATTAGAGTGTGCTCAATGAGTAAGGTACTGATGTTAAACCTTTTATATCCATTATCTCATTAATCAACAAATGTTTGGTTTTTGTTAACTTTTTGGAATCCAGTATATAGGTTGAACAATTATTGGTCTCATTTTTTCAGCTTACAAATTGGCTGCCATTTTTGTAAGGAGGTGTGCCTTCTCTATGAAGGCCATTTATTTTCTTGAACATTAACAGGAACTGTACATTGAATATTAGGGAAGTAATGGCATTATGCCCATTATGTATACCGCTGATAACAGATGATGCTTATATCTGAACCTGATCAGTAGCAAATTTTAAGTAATCACCCTGAATTTTTAAAATATTTTATTTATTTATTTTTAGAGCGAGAGGAAGGAAAAGAGAAAGAGAGGAAGAGAAACATCAGTGTGTGGCTGCCTCTTGTGCACCCCCTATTAGGGACCTGGCCCTCAACCCAGGCATGTGCCCTGACGGGGAATCGAACCTGTGACCCTTTGGTTCACATGCTGGTCCTCAATGCACTGAGCCACACCAGCCAGGGCCCACCCTAAATTTTTTATATTGAACTCATTAGAGCTAATCTCAGAATTAGTCAGTAATCACTTAGGTCTTAGTGATAAGATTGAAAAATGACAATAGATACTTCAAAAGAAATATAAGAAAACTTTATTCCTATTTCTCCTTAAGTAATTGTCTGTTCCAGACCTGTTAATCATGATGTGTGGGCGCTGGCTTTGGAGGAATTTCTTTTGTGAAACATTTCATGCTGGTACAGCACTGGCTTTGTAGTCAGTGTTTTGCTGTTATTTATTTACATTTTATTTTTTGGACTATTTTGTGGGTGATTAAGTTATACCTAATGAAAAATTCTCTATGTTCCTCACCCGTGTTCTCCATCTGTATCATATAGCGAATAGAGTCACTTTGTTTGTTTGTGCTTGCCATTCTCTGTCCAAGAAACACGAGCAAGAACGGTGACAACACAAAACAGCTGCATAGAAACTAGAAGCGCCCACATTTTCAAATAGGTGTTTAGTCCCAGCGGTTTGCATCCTGGAAAGGAGTGTCGATTATTGTGGGGTAAAGCTCGGCATCACTGGGGCGCTGCATTTTATTCTGTCTGTCCACTAACTCTCCTCTGAGAAATGGACACAGAAATATCTACTTCAAAGGTTCATTAAGACTAAGTGAGATGTTATGAAAGAACCCAGTGGTTAACATGCTCTTAGTAAACAATTACGTTACTGTTTTTTAAGTAACTGCTAATTCTCTGGCTTAAGTTATTTGATCTTAAAATTCCTTTATTTACTACATTCTGGAGATCTTGAATGCCTGCTGTGAAACACATAATTATGTTTGTCTGGCTTTTCCCAGTTTTCTACATTTTTAATCTTAGATTCAGAGACTAAATTCTTTAGATGTTACCTGGAGGGATGAAGTAGCAGGCCTTCCTTCCTTCCTTCCTTCCTTTCTTTCTTTTTTCCTTTTCTTTTCTTTTTTCTTTTCTTTTCTTTTCTTTTCTTTTCTTTTCTTTTCTTTTCTTTTCTTCTTTTTCTTGAGAGGGGGTTGTGTCACAATCCTGGAGAGTCTGGCAACTACAATGTTCCTTTAACATGGAATTTATATTTTTGCAGGTATGGGCGGAGCTGCCATCGCACCACCCACTTCTCTTGTAGAGAAAGACAAAGAGTGTATGTATCTGGTACTTCCCCTCTTTTATGTTGGTAAAAGTCTTGCTGTGGACAGTCTTAGCTTCCATTGGCCACGTTACCTGCATGAGCAAAGCTGTCCTCTGGCCCTAACCCTGAGGCCCGGCTTGGGTCCTTGAGGCTACTGCTCCCTTCCACCCCTTATACTTTAGAAGTTTTAATGCCAGTCTCTAAGACTTGGATTTTTATACAGTGAGATTCTTTTATAAAATTTTAAAATTTATTTTGTGTTTTCCAACATTTCATATTTGGAGTTAGGTTAAAACAAGCAGTAGCTCCTCAATTTTCAATTTGTGTACTTGGTAATTTAGAGACTGTAAAATTCATGACCTTCCACAAGGTGGCAGTGCCTTCTTGATTAGATTTTTGTGCCATTTGTTTTGATTTCAGTGCACAGATTGTGTGCCTTCACTTTCATTGCTAGAACACACCCACCCACTGTTTCTCCTCCCAGCGATCTATTCTATGATTTGGGGGTTGGAATTGAACTTTGATATATCATTCTAGGTCATTTTCCTGTCCTCTGGGTTGGACCATACCTAAACTATCCCAAGAAAATACAGTCATCCCTGGTGCTTTTGAAAAGCTGTTGCATTATTTATTTTATATTTTTTAAAAAAGATAATTCAGAAAATATTGTTAAGTACACTTTGTGTGAAAACACCTGGCAAACCATAAACCCAATTGAAACCAATTTCTAGGAGTAGGGCCCAAGCATCTAGATTTTTAAATTAATATATAATTTTTTTTTGTGGAGAGAGAAACATCCACTTTTTTTTTGCTGCTGCTGCTGTTCCACTTATTTATGCATCCATTGGTTGATTCTTGTATGTGCCCTGACTGGAGATCGAACCAGCAACCTTGGTGTATCAGGAAGACACTCTAACCAACTGAGCTACCTGGCTAGGGCATTTGGATTTTTTTTTAAGCGTTCTTGTTGATTCTACTATGTAGCTAGGGCTGAAAATCACTGCTCTGGTATATGGTCCATAACCTCAAAGACCTTTATTCTGTGCTAGGCTAATGAAGTAGTACACTTAGAGTTCTAAAACAGGTATACAAGAGGCTATGAGAATCGAAAGGGAGTTTGATTGGCTCTATCTGGAACATACAGAAATCTTAAGAATTCAGACAAAAATTGTCATTTAAGAGCCCTTTTAAAGGATAACATTTCAGTAAGATACAAAGGGACATTTGAGGAGATAATAAACAGCTGTAACAAAGCTAAAATTTTAAAAATCATGTCATACCTCTATGATTTTAAAAAGTCATGTAGAGGCTGTAAAATGGATTTTGTTTTCTTCTTCATATAGTAAACTAAAAGTGTTAATTAAATTAATTAAAAGAACGGATTTTATGCAGCGCAATGTGGAACTTTTTAATAGTATTTTAGTAAACCTATTTTATTTTTATCCAACAGTACCCCGAGAATTTCCTTATGAAGAGGACTCAAGACCTCGCTCACAGTCTTCCAAAGCTGCCATCCCTCCCCCCATGTATGAGGAGCAGGACAGACCCAGATCTCCACCGGGCCCTGGCAACTCCTTCCTCGCCAACATGGGGTAATGGTTCCAAGTGCTATTGTCTCAGCAGGTGTGAGATGGGTGAGACTCAGTGTGAAGTGTAGGCAGTGCTCTCAGTAGATGCAGCTTGTTTGGGAGTGAGGACATTCTCTGGTTTGTAGAGAGGTGCTTGGTGTGTCCGGTCACATACATCATTCTTGAGAATCCATGCTTGAGTCATGTGGAGGATATTGCAGCACAGTGCTGTTGTATTTTGTACAAAACAAAGCCTTCTAATGTAAGTTTTAGGTGATTTCATTGTTGAACATTATATTCCCTAGGTAGGAACCATTTCTGATCATTATTTACATTTATTTTCATGACATTTGCAAATAAAATAGCTCATGTGAATTACAGCTGACTTATATACTATGTCCAAATGGTGAACGACTTCTTTATTTCTTGATAAAATGAGCCATTTGCTTTAAGGTCATGGTTATACACCTTTAGTTTAATAACAGTTATTCAAACTAAATTAGAGTATTTATTTACCTACATGTAAAAATCTTTTTAACATTGACTTTCAGGTAGAGCTGGTGGAATTTCTTTTTAAACACCATTGGATTCATTGTGCATTTTGGCTGAAAGAATGTTTTATGTTGTTTCTATGTTTCTTTCATGCAGTGAGGGACTATCAAATGAAGCATTATAGTGAGGCCTTTGTTCTGTGTCCTTTAAAAGGACACTGCCTATGACAGAAATGCTGTGTCTGTAGTAATCACACCAATCTGCCCTCGCCTGTGTTTATATGCTTTGATTCTTAGAGCCCTCAAGAAGTGACTCGTCGAGAGTTGGAGTAGGTGGCTGGGGCTCCTGTACTGTGAGAGGATTTTGAGTTTCTGACCTTGGTACCCATCCCCTAGACCTGTATTGTTCTCTACTGTAGCTACTAGCCACTGGTAGCTGTTAATTTAAAATGAATATAGTTTAAAATGTAGCTCCTCATTTATACTAGTTCATCTCAAGTACTTGATAACCACACAGGGCCAACAGCAATGGTACTAGGCAGTAGAGAGAGAGAGCACCCCCGTCATTGCAGAAAGGTTTATTGGACCACCTATAGTATATGCTGGAGGGTGAACAGGCATGAAACCGGGTGGTTGTTTTTTTCTTGCACATGATAAAAATTGACTTTTTTGCTGAATCCCCTTTTGAACAGGAATTCAGTCTTTAACTTATGCTTAAGGAAGATGCAGTGTGGCGCCTTTCAGCAGTTTTCAGCCTTTTAGCCCTAGAATAGCTTCGAATGAAATTTTTAAGGAAATCTCAAAACATGAAGTAAAGTGGGTACAGTTCTAGTTGAAGCAGGGTTTTGTGGCTTAAGCCTTAGGTAGCAGCGGTTGCTAGGGGTCACCCTTGACACCTGTGAGGCACCTCCCAGGCCTGGCTGGGTAGCTCAGCTGGTTAGAGCATTGTCCCCATGAACCGTGGTTGTGGGTTCAATTCCTGGTCAGGGCACACACAAGAAGCAACCAATGAGTGCATGAATAAGTGGAACAACAAAACAATATCTCTCTTTCTCTAAAAATCAATAAATAAAAATAATTTTTTTAAAAGAGGAAAGTTATGGTATTAGAGAAAGCAGTGGACTAAGAATTAAGAGTTGTGGGTTCCAGTTTTGATTCTGATATTAACACCTATAGAAATAATTTCTAATTGTTGTGTTTGTTTTTGTTTCTAATCAGCTTTAACCTAGTCAGCTAATCTGGGCCTCAGTTTCTTTATTTTCTCATCAGTTAAATGATGATCTCTAGGAGTTCTTTAACATTATAAAGGCTATCATTGGAAACTACTGTACCATTTAGGAAAAGACAATCTTTATTAAATTTTTATTTTCCCATTACAGTTGACCTACAATATTACATTAGTTTCAGGTGTACACCCCATGATTAGACGTTATATAACTTACTAAGTTATCACCCTGATAAATCTGATACCCATCTGGCACCATACAGAATTATTACAGTATTGCTGACTATATTCCCTGTGCTGTGCTTTACATCCCCATGACTGTTCTGTAACTACTAATTTGTATTTTTTTATCCCTTCTCTTTTTTACCTGTCTCCCCAATCCTCCTGCCACCTGGCAACCATCAAAATGTTCTCTTTATCTATGAGTCTGTTTCTGTTCTGCTTGTTTATTTATTTGTGTATTTATTTGTTTATTTTTTATTCTACATCCAAGTGAAATTATACAGCATTTGTCTTCCTCTCTCTCATTTATTTCACTCAGCACAATTCCCCATAAATCCATCTACATTGTTACAAAAGCAAGATTTCATCGTTTAAAGTAATTGTTGATGGATATGTATTTATTGCCATTTTATTATTCATGCTTTTTATTTTTCTTCTTAAAGAAGGCCCTTTAACATTTCTTGTAATACTGATTTGGTGGTGATGAACTCCCTTAGCTTTTTCTTGTCTGGGAAGCCTTTTATTTGTCCTTTGGTTCTAAATGATAGGTTTGTTGGGCAGAGCAGTCTTGATTGTGGGTCATTATTTTTTATCGCTTTGAGTATTTCTTGCCAGTCCCTTCAGGCCTGTGTAGTTTCTGTTGAAAAATCAGTTGACAGTCTTATGGAAGCTCCCTTATACATAACTGCTTTTCTCTTGCTACTTTTGAGATTCTTTGTCTTTAACCTTTGATGTTTTAACAATGATGTGTCTTGGTGTGGGCCTCTTTGGGTTAAACTTGTGTAGGACTCTGCACTTCCTTGACAGGCACATTCTAAAACAAACAGTGGTTGTAAGGTATACCAATGCATGGAATCTAAAGAACGATATAAACGAAGAAACAAACCAAACAGACTCATAGATACAGGGAACAGATTGATGGTTGTCAGAGGGGAGAGGGTCTAGGGGGACCAGGTGAAAAAGGTAAAGGGATTGAGAAATATGGATTGATAGTTATGAAACAGCCATGGAGGTGTAAAGTATAGCACAGGAAGTGTAGTCAATAATATTGTAATAACTGTGTGTATTGCCAGGTGGGTCCTGAAAATTTCCAGGGAGACACTCAGTAAAGTACATGATTGTCTAACCACTGTACCGTACACCTGAAACTAATATGAAATAATATTAAAGTAAACTGTAATTGAAAAAAAGATGTATTGAAATTCAGATACTAGAACACACTGGTCTACTGTTAGAAAAGCTCTACTGTTTTCTAACAGGGTACTAGGGAAATTTTGTTAGGGAAACTTAATATTTTCCTTGCCTAAGAGATAATCTCAAGATGTCCAGGGTTTCAGCATTAGTTTTTTATATTTCTTTCATCCTGAACATCCCCATAACTTCCATCTAATGGCTCATTGTTAATTATATGTGATCTCACTGAAGCTCTTACAGAATTTCTCTTCTCCCAAAAGGAGAGTGTTATGATATAAAATCCAATTTATGCTTTAGCTGATGACTTCAGGTGTAAAGGACTCCCTCTTTTTCTTCCTGCCAGTGGCACAGTAGCACATAAAATCATGCAGAAGTACGGCTTCCGGGAAGGCCAGGGTCTTGGGAAGCATGAGCAAGGGCTGAGCACAGCACTATCAGTGGAGAAGACGAGCAAGCGAGGAGGCAAGATCATCGTGGGTGAAGCCACAGAGAAAGGTGGGTCTTCCCCAGAAGCAGAGAAATGCAGTCCAGAGGAAAAGAAGTCTTGAGTAGAATAAGAGAATTCTTCATTGGATACATTTCAGTTCCGTGCTGTGCCTCATTTTTATTCAGAACAGATATAGAGATAGGAAGGCCCACAGGAGAAAAAGACAGTGACTTTCCCAGAAAATAAACAGTGCTTAAGAAAATAAGTTCACTCATGCTTAATTCTACTAGGCAAAGAATCTTATTACATTGATAAGATCAGTTATGTTTTTATAGCATGAAAGACAGAACCACATACAGTTTATCAGTGATAACATCTGCTATGTTTCCATTCTATAAGGGTTCTTATTGGTAGAAGATGGCTCATTAGTGTTTTATTTTTGTTCTGTCAATACACAGCTTTAGGAAGCAGCCAGTCAGCCTGGATCACCCTGATTTGTGGGAGTATCTGCACTCAGTGCACTGCAGCCAGTAGCTGGCTAATGGGATGGGTGTGCTCTGTGAGCCCTTTAGGAAGTGCACTAAGTGAAATTTGTAGGTAACTGGGAAGCTAAAAACTTCCAGAAATTATAGTAAAAACCTACCATATTTTAGGACTATGAGGCACGCCGGACCATAAGATGCACCTAGGTTTTAGAGGAGGAAAATAGGAAAACAAATTTTGAAGCGAAAAATATAAAATATTTAATAACATAAATAGCATAATATTTCACCAATATAAATGTAAACTACATTTACTAGCCTGGTAAGCTACATTCGGACTATAAGACACACCCCCGTTTCCCCCCCAAATTTGGGAGTTAGTGCATCTCATAGTCTGAAAAATAGGGTGTGCCAAAGCAAAGGGAATGCTTTCATTACAGATAAGGCTACATTTTTGCTCAGCTGTAGGTGCTTGTAGATAACTCTAGGACATCAGAGGGTTTCTTCTGGAATTAAATTATTCATTGTAACTTGGATTCAGTGCTCTAACATGTCTACATCTGATGATTTGCTTGCTGACAGATGCAGCCAAGAAGTCAGACTCAAATCCATTAACCGAAATACTTAAGTGTCCTACTAAAGTGGTCCTACTAAGGGTAAGAAGCAGAAGGAAGAAATCTGTGTGCCCACCTTGATTTATGTGTCACTTCACCCTAACCTATCCCTGCATGTATTCAGCACCACTGAGACCATAATGGGTAAAGAAAACGGAAAATAATACTTCTGCAAACAGTACTTTTGGATAGACTCCATATAAGACTGATATTTTTACTAATGTTTAGTTACAGCAATTACTTTAAGATATTTGAAATTGTTAGACACTTAGTTCAGTTTATGCACCTTGGTGCTTGCATAACTGGTCTTGTAACTATGAAGTTTAGTGTATATTTTTATTTTATTTATTTTCTTTTTAAGAAATAGCATTGGGGGGACTACAAGGATAAACATTTTATTTGGGATGGAGACCATTTGCTATAATAAAGTTATTTATACATCTTATCTATGTATTTATAAATTATACTTGATACTTGAATTTATTTTTGTTTATAGAACATGGTTGGTGCAGGAGAGGTAGATGAAGACTTGGAAGTTGAAACCAAGGAAGAATGTGAAAAATATGGCAAAGTTGGAAAATGTGTGATATTTGAAGTAAGAGGGTTTTCTTTTGATATTTATAACATGTTGTGATTGACAGTTTATAAAACATTTTCTACAAAAAGAGACAGGTATGCTGTGCTGAAATAACAGTGTCTCACTATAGGAGGTGGCAGGTGTTAGTTAGTTTTCTTACTTGGTATAACAATTTTAAACATAAAGACAAGAAAGACTTCAAACTTTATTTGGAGAGAAATAAAAAATTTATGGGTAAGGTTTAGTTTGGTGATTAAAGACTTTGATAATAAATAATATGCTCAATAATTTTGTTACTTGGACATGCCTTTGGTTTCACTCATTTAGCAAGTATATATTTAGTGCCTTCCGCATATCCAGTAGTGTGTTGAGAGCATTTGGGATGTTCTGTGTTCTCAGTGATCTATTCAGTTGGCATAACAAAACAAATACATGTAAAAACAGACTACTTTGTTGCTAGACTCAGTAATATTGATTCTAAGCACTAGAGTGGAGGAAGTGTTAGGTCAACAAAAAAAAGAGACAGCTTGGTGACTATCAGATGGAGCTAAGCTTTGAAATGACTGGGTAGCATTTGGATAGGAGGGAAAAATACCCAGATTAGGGTTGTAGCTTCTGGAAGACTAACAAAGGGTACAAAATGGGATGGTTGGGCATGTTTGGGATTAACTGGAGACATGCTTGGTTAGATGGAATGGGGCCGTATTATTCAGGGCATAGAAAGCACAACAAAGGAATTCACCCTGTTATGAGAGACAAAAAGAATACAGCACTTTTTATCTTAAATTTCTGCTCTTACTTGTGCTTCACTTCTGTATCATGTTGCTGTTTATTGACTGCATAATTATTTATGTGTCAGCTGTCAGGACCTCCACAAGGTCAGACTGCTTTGACATGGACACTGGCCCACAGTGTCCATGATGTTATAGATGAGATGAGACAAATTCACTTGGACTGCCGAGCCCTGTGGAGGAAAAGGGACGGCACAGTCACTCTCTCAAGAGGAGAGTGTGCCAACCCTTGCCTTGACAGGCTTTTATTGGCTTTCTAATAGCATACATCAAAGAAGGTTTTCATTCATTATGCTTAGGTTTGCTTTAGGTAATTACTTTTTACAGATAGCAACTGGAAGGATGTTACTGATAACTTCTTACAGATTAACAAGGAAAAAATGTTGCAAGTGTAAGGGAACGATGAGAGTAACAGTTCTAGTTATACTTCAGTCCTTGGGAGAATTAGCACAGACTTCAGGAAGTTACTTTAAAGATATGCAGTAAGCATTTGCTGACTGAACTCAGGATGAGGGAGTTTTAGCAAGATCAAGTCACAAAGCAACCTAGTTATAATGCAGGCCTGATTTCCCATGGGAGAACTGATCCGTGGGCGTGGTCCTGTGTGCCAACTGTCTCCCCACTGGTTTTCCACGTGGGTGCTGAGCTACATTTCCACTCTTTGTGAAGTGGTTCCCTGCATGCTTTGCTTAGCTGTGCATTCCCAACACCTAACACCGTGCCTGTTGCAAACAGCTGTTTAGCAAATGCTTGATGATAATTTCCTTGGCATTTGACTACTACTTTTTTGTATATGATGATAATTGGAACACTTACTCTTACAGAAATCACTTAACTGACATCTCAAATGATAACTTTACCTATTATACTTTTTTCCTCTCCAGATTCCTGGTGCCCCTGATGATGAAGCAGTACGAATATTTTTGGAATTTGAGCGGGTTGAATCAGCAATTAAAGGTGAGTTGTACAACCAAATATAAAAAATTAAGTTGAATTTGTTATCTTGTTATAATTAGAACATTCTTGTAATGTTTTACAGGAACCTGTATTGACTGACTGTCTTTTTGTTTGCCTTTTAGCTGTCGTTGATCTGAATGGGAGGTATTTTGGTGGACGGGTGGTAAAAGCTTGTTTCTACAATTTGGATAAATTCAGGGTCTTGGATTTGGCAGAACAAGTTTGATTTTAAGAACCAGAGCACAAGCTGCACGCTGAGCAGACAAGAAAAAGGCGACAGCCAGCTTGCATGGCTGTTGGGTGCAGAGATTCTTGGAAGGACTGCTAAGATATATGTTGATTAATCCCTTTTTTTATTTTGTGGTTTTTTAATATAGTATAAAAATCCTTTTAAAAAACAAATCTGTGTGCCTCTCTGGTTGTTTCTCTTTTTTTTTTTTTTTTAAGATTTTTATTTATTTGTCATTAGAGAGAGGGGAAGGGAGGGACAGAGACAGGGAGGAAAACATTGGTGTGTGATTGATTTGGTTGCCTCTCACATGCCCCTAACTGGGGACCTGGCCCAGAACCCAGGCGCATGCCCTGACTGGGAATGGAACTGGCAACCTTTTGGTTTGCAGACTGCCACTCAGTCCACAAAGCCACACCAGCCAGGGCTGTTTCTCTTTTTTATTACCACTTCTGAGGTAATTAACTTCATTTTGCTAGGATTTCATGATAATTCTCAAGTCTTCAGAGATACAGTATTTCTTGCACTAAAAAAAAATCTAGAAAGTTTTGGGATAAGGGATTGTATTAAGTTGTCTTTTTTTTTCTTTTCCTTTTCTTTTGTCATTTTAATAAAACCTATAAGTTACTGTAGCTTCATTAATTCTATAATAAAGTATCATCGTGGCAGTCTGCCAGGGGTGAAAATGTCTGCTTTCTCTAACAGAGAAATTCTTCCTGTTGACGTTAGTCATAGAAAAAAATCTTTACAATCTGAGCAATGGTTCAAGAGTTGTGAACTTACCACGACCTGTTTGGATGAATCATTTCAATTAAGCCAAATCAGACTCTAGGGTTTGTGGTGGATTTAGGGTATAGAAGTCATGAATCTATCATTTGTTTTTAGATATTCAAACATAGTCTTTGGCATAGATCAGAAATGACAAGTTAATTCAGAATCTCTCAGGTACATTGTAAATGCATACCCATAATGTTTTGGGAATGTTGGTTCCTTGGGGTCACATTTCTATTGGCAAAATTTGTAAGAATGTTCTTTTTTTTTTTTAACCGTTTAAAAAATTTTTTATTTAGAGGGGAAGGGAGGGAGAAAGAAAGGAAAAGAAACAGCTATCAGTTGCCTCTAGCATGGCGCCAACTGGGGACCTAGCCCACAACTCAGGCATGTGCCCTGACTGGGAATTGAACCTGTGACTTTTCAGGTCTCAGGCCAGTGCTCCATCCACTGATCCATAGCAGCCAGGGCAAGAATGTTAGTTCTTATATGTAATTCTAAAATGTATAAAATTCAGCTGCATTAGTTACTTAAACTGTACTGTCAACTAATAAATTTCCAGAATTATGAAAAATTGTACCATTGAAGCACAGTGGTATCTGTGGCTTAAAAATTTAGCAGAGCCACAAAAAAGAAAATGTAAACATATTTGGTGCTGGGGTTCATTGCCAGAGTAGGAAGTGTTTCCAGAATATACCTGTGTCTGTGTTCTGTTCCTTGCTTGCAGGAATATGGCATTTGATTTTCCTGAGGTGGCAACTGAAGGACATGGAACTATGTTGTCCCTTTAGGTGGTTGTGACAGGAAAGTGTATTGTGACCCCTCAGGAAAGGAAAACACCCAACATTTCTTCACACCCATGGACTTGGTTTGGGGGCCCGGGGAATATTCTGACTCTCTTTAAAAAAGGGTTTTCTCATGTTTTTATTTAACAAATAAAAGAATACATTTTCTCTTTTGTGGTATTTACTGAGTAAAATTTAATTGAGACTTGGTTTTTGTGATTAAAGTACACGGATTTTGTAAAATAAGTTTAGGTTCAAGATTATTTTTTAAAGCCAATTTGGGTTAAAGATTTTAATGTAAAAGAATTACATAATTGAATATTTTGCAGGACTAAAAGTCATCTGCAGCCCTGAAACTTGCAAAGGTCTACCTATGGACTTAGCTACCGATTAAATGTGCTTATGCTGGGTATTATGCTGGCTTAGTTTAATTTGTATTATAACCTCTAATATTCTTAAACTATAAGTTCCAAGCAGCCTGTGATGTCTGCCTTATTATTATCTTGCTGCATAATAACATCATTTATTTGCATTTAGGTGGCTTTTCCCTACATTCTCATGATCAACAACCAGAGGAATGCAAGTTACTTAAACTACTTTAACTTTTAGTAGCATGGACACAACTTGGTGAATAGCTTTCTCCCCAGTCTTTACTTATTACTTTTTAATTTCCTATAAGATAGTGCTTAAGAAATTTAAAATTAATTTTTAATATTAACTAAAATTCAAATTTAACTTCAATGTAAAAATTCCAGTGTAAATAAAAAATTAAAGGTTCAGTAGACATTTGGTCTTCCTGGTCTATCTGCCATCTTCTGAAAGCCCTTCCTGTGTTTGGGGAGTTTCCTGCATTCACTCCTCCCCCTAAAGCAGAGATTAGAAACTTGTTTCCCAGTCTGTCATGCAGCTAAGGTGGGCATCCCAGCCTGGGCTCTTTATATAAGATGTGCCACCCCAAGGCTTTAGCTTAGAGCAGAGCTCATACAGGATCTGTGCTCTCACTGGCCAGGGCAGGTGCAGTGTTGCCTAGCCTTTGGGCGGTGGTAGCAGAGACCTTGTCATTCCATAATGTTGTGGTGAGGCCACTTGTGTGGCAGGGCAGTCTTAGGAGCAGTTTCTGGGTGTGACTTGGGAGTTTTCTTGCTTTATATAAAACCTCCAATTATGGCTGGGGCCTGTCTGGAGATTCTGTTGACTAGTTTGTTCGTTTTGGGTGGGGGTGTGGTAAATTCCTTTTTAGTTTAAATATGCCAGAGTGAGTTCTGAGTTCTCTCATTTGCAACTAAAAACAACAGACTGATAAACAAGTTGATACTGGAATTGAAATGACAAATCCTAGAAGATGGAGAGGTAGAACAAGAGAACCCACTACCTAGGTTAGTTGGTGAAGCTAGCTAGCTGTTAGCAAAACATTTTTGCAGAATTGTTACTGGACTTCAGGGTACAAGTCAGACTGGTGTTAAGGGAAATAAATGATGGGGGAACTGCAGGGTGATAGCATGAGTTCGGTCACTTCTCAGATGTGTTGGTGTCAGACTGCATGGGTTTAAACCCTCTTTCTACTTACATGCTATGTGGCCGGGTGCCTCAGTTAAAAATAGAAATGCTAATCATACCTACTTTTTAGGAATATTAGGAGGATTAAACAACTCATACATGGAAAGCAGTATCACAGAAGTATTGAAAAAAATGCAAGCTACCAAGTTCTGCAAAAGCAATTAAGTCAGACTAAAGGAAGCTGGTTTGAAAGCAGAGGGAAGAAAATAGCCTTGTTAAGAGAAGCTTTCTCTGCATGTAACCTGTAGTCTGAGTGGGTGGAAAGTTGCAAGGCTTAGTCCTGTTGATTTGGGAAAACCTACCTTCACTGAAATGCAACCTACGGGCTGGCTCACCAGCAGCTTCAGCAGGGGTTGAGATTAGAGATTGTAATCTTGTAAATATGGAATTAAAGATGTTGCTTTCTCACTTCATATGATGGTTTTGGATTGCCCTTAGACAACAGCCGCCGGTATGGTAGGGAGAAGGGACTGGAGATAGCCCCAGAGACCAGCTGCTTCAAGACAAAATGCTTGGCTCAAAGACCACGTTATTGAGATGTTTGTGTTGACTTGAGTGTAGAATGTACAGCATCCTGATTGTTTTCTGCCCTCACACATTAAAGGCAGACAACTTGGCTTCTTAGCTGTAGGTCTGCACCAGGTAGGGCCACATGTGGACCTCAAAGAAAACTGCATTTCACCCAGAGACTTTGGACTGGGATCAATAACTGGAAGAGACTTGAAAAGTCATCTTCCTTAGGTTGGGGGTCAGTGCTCTTCAAGTGTATGTATGGGAAGAACAATGACTACTTTGGGGACAGCCAGAGAGGTTGATTGTGTGGCAGATACCACATATCCCACCACCTATTCCCAAACTCCTTTCTATCATATGCCTCTTGTTTTAAAGGCTGGAAAGTTCTTAATGTGAAGATTGGGTAGCCATGTGTCATTTCTGGTCAATAAGATGTAAGTGGCAGTGTAGTTTACATTTACGTAGTTTTACAGATGCTTTTTACTTGCCCAGCCAAGCCATGGCAGCCCTTTGGTGAACTTCAGGTGATGAGCCAGCATGCCAAGGATGGTGGGAAGAAAGGCCTGGTCACATCAGTGAGGTGCTGCCATGCCCAAGGCATGACTCCTCTGGGAGAAAATGCCAGTGTCTGGTGGTTTCTTTGGCTTGAAGGCAAATTTACCTCTTGCTGGTACAGTCGGCCTACTTCCAAAACATGTATAATATATTCAGAAGCTGGGGGCAGGGGGCAGGTTTTTTTTGCACGTAATTAAAAATCACCTATTAGTATAAAACCTTGCAGACTATTTTCTCATAGTTTGCTTTTCCTATAAGTAGTCCCTACATAAACTGAAAGAGAATTCAGTTTTTCAGTGGATTCAACAAGCATTGTTTTGTCATGTGCTATGTATAGGTATTTTTAGTACTGGGAATGAAAAATGAATAAGGTCATTGTCCTTGGTTTCAGAATTTGTAGTTCATTTCAGAAACACACAAAAGCAAAACAGTGCAAGGTAAATCCTGCTAAAACAAGACAAGGTGCATGACTGGGCTCTTTGGGGTTAATGACATAGTCTTTGTCTCTGGTCCCAGCATCTGAGGGGACCCAGCATACACAAAGAATTGGCAGTAAATTTGATGATTATGTGTAAAGCACTGAGAGCTCA